GTTTTGTTTTTGAAAACGAAAATAACTGTTACATCAATAAAATTATATTGCTTTTTGCTGATATTGCAGTTACTTTTATTTTTAGAAATAAAATCAAGCATGTTATTTGATTTTGGATCTCTTGCCCAGGATAACTCTAATATGTTTACCCACAACATACTACTCTCTTGAATTGGGAACATCTCCCACTGCATAATACTATGTAGGAGGATGAGATATTCTTCATATGTGGCTAAACCTGCAATGTTATTTGAGTAGACATGGGCAGAGTTTGTGTGGACAGGAGAGCTAGACTCTGTTCGAACACCCTCTAAATATCTTAGACCATTGAATTCATGCCTCAAGATCAACTAACTAGTCTTGAAACTTTATCCAAATGATGTGCAATAATTGCAAATAATTAATTTCGACCATGAAACTAGTATAGTAAATGGATGATGATATATTAAAACAATCCAACTATGATACCAAATAGGCATAATTACCAAGCAAGTGGTATAATAGAAGTGGTAACCAATCAATGGTGTGCATCAAAATTGGGATGGGGGTTGATAAAGTTAATTGATAATGCTATTCATAAAACACATAACAAGAGTGGCAACCTTGTTGCCAATTAGTTGGTTGATGAAGTCTTTGGCTGATTGTATGGGAGACTTGGGATTGAATCATGCCTACTAGGGTCGGGAGAGGATGGGGATGGGCTACCCAAGGTTGCAACTAGGGGTGTAAATGGATCAAATTCGAATTGGATAAGACAATATTCGAATTCGGATCTGACTAGAAAATCCGATATTCGAATTTGATTTGATATCTGACAGATATTGAAAATCAATATCTGAATTCGAATCCGATTTAATATTCGAATATTTAGTTTGAATTTGATTAATTGATTATTTTAGATAATTAATAAATATATAAAATAAATATTTTATTGATATAAAATATATAAATTATTTATATAACTTAATTATTATATATAAATTATATAAAATAATTTATATATTATATATAAGAATTAAATAATCGATCGAATTCAGATATTTATCGAATAAAATCAGATTATATCCAAATTCAATTCAATTACGTTAAATATCAAATTTAAAATCATATTTTCAAATACCATTAACACCCCTAATTGCAACTGTTGACCATTTACCAATGCACAACATGGCCAACTGAACATATAACGTGACGTTTAAGATTCTGGTGGTGGATTTATTATACCCTATGCAAAGGAATAGGAGTTATTTACTCATTTGCTAATTCAGACATTAGAAATTTATTAATTTTCTTTTTCTTTGTGATTTCAAGTCAACGATGGTAATGAACAATCAACAACTCACATGGTTAACTCAGCATAGCCACTCCCCAAAGAACATAGATCCCTCCCATGGGTAATTGGTGAACTACCTATTGCATAATGAAAAATAAAATAAAACAAATTTTGAGTTGGAATACAGCTATAGAGACCATCAGAGTGCATATATATGTCTTATAAAAAACTACACTCACTATGTTGTAGTGTAGATTTCAAACCAAGATCCTCATGAAAGCACATTTTATACCAAAATATGGTTCTAGCATTGTACAACATATTAATGTTTTGAAAAAACGATTTTAATATGCTTTGGCCACCAGTTTTCAGGTCCAATGATTTGACTGTTGGATCTGAACGGATTATTTTTTAAAATTTTAAAAATAAAAAATAATTAAATAAAAATGATTTCAGTTCAATAATTCAACTTAGTGGTTCATTGACCGATTGAACGGTTTATTGAGAAATTCTGCACAAATAAAAGAACGGAATCGGATAACGCCCATGATCCAACCGCCCCGGTCAACTATTTTAAAACCATAATACATACATTGATAGTTGCAGACTTACAGCACATGGATATTGGAATTTCTTCAAAATCAGTGTCAGCCAAGTATTCGTCAGTCAAAGATAATGGACTACATTTTGGTATTCCATATTGAATTACTTAGGGTGTCTCCCATTAATGTTTTTGGGGTTTTAATGATTCAGTCCACTCCTAGGAAATCCTAACTCCACCTAGGGGTGGATTAAATCCTGCTCGTGGATTGATGTCAAATTCATAGGCAGGATGTGGTTTATAGGGGGCTACTAATAAACTAGGAGGGGACTACAAAAAAGATTTCTGAGGGGGAGTGCAGCCCAAAAATCCCTTATTTTTTTGATCAACCCAAAAACATTAAATACCTAGATTATTCAATGGCAGCTCAAGAGGCAACCCAAGGCTGATTTTTGGCAACAATACCACCAAGATTGCCACGTGATTCTTTGAACAACCACAACTTCATCCAGATGAGATTCTTGTTATATGTGACTGTGAGTCCTGTGTTAGTTTTTTTTTAATTTTTCATACTTTAATCATTATCATAACAATCTCTCACGTGCAATGCATATACCCACTTACTAGTTAATTAATGAGTCACTTCATTGGATAATATGATTAAAATGATCGTTCAGCGCGGGGTCAGAATTCATAGACCAAAAATACAATTAAGGTAAGTGCCAACTTGGAATTGATGCCAATTTATAGGTGGATATAGGTGCATAAAATGTGGGTGTTTGACCTTTTGAATATTTATAGATTTACTGGGAAATTCAGAAATCTACATTAAACCTGTCCGTACTTTTCCATAATTTTTACTTTTTAACCATCGTGCCAAATTAGGGCCTCCAAACCAGCCTTTCGCTGGTTTGACTGTATCTGGTTAAGGCTGTGTCAGTCTTAATCGGGTTTTGAGTTGGATTAGGATTAATATGAATCCGTACCGATCTGATACTTTGCTATTGCAGATTCAAAATATTTGTGAATATAACGTGGCTAAGTATATGTGTATTATATACGGATAGGATGGATTGGTTAGATGTCCTCACTCTACTTAGCCATATCGGATTCGGGTTAGAGCTGTTTCGCGTCGGGTTCAATTTGAGACGCTCACTAGGCCTGACGTGTTAAAATCCGGACTCGGATTTTTTTCCTTGTTGTAGTGTCTTGTTAGTAGCAACTAGCAAATTTGGACTGGGATTTTTTAAGTATGCTGATTGCATTCCTTTTTAATAATAGAAATGTTGGGTAAATTTTAGAAAACTACACACACTTTCATTTCTGATATAATGATATAGAGCTATTTTTTATATTTAGATTCTACCATTAAGCTCTTGTTGTTAGCATTCTAGGACCATTTTGACCTTTCTTTTATTGCATATACAAAATCTTTGAATCTTCCTTTTTCTTTTCATTTATCTAAAAAGAGAGTAAGGACAATTAAAACATAATAGTGGGAGCAAGAGTATTAGAATATGAGAAAATATAGGATAGCTCTCTATGAAAAATAAACCTGTAGGCTTGGGATTTTTAAATAATAAAAATATATATTAATAATAGGTATTCAATGATAGGTTGTATTTTGTGTGTAATTATAAGTTACTATTTAATACCTATTACTAATATTTAAAAATCCCAAACCCAACAGAAAAAAATAATCGGACCCACTGCCACCAGGGTTTTGGAGGTTAAGGGTATGAAGATAGACTACAACCCGAAGGATATGAGTATATTTTATATATAATTTTTTTATTTGAACTTAGGTGTGTAATTATATATTGAACAGCAATATTTTTTATATATAAAATGTGTGATTGGATTTGAATAACTGAATAAGTTAAGAAAAATTATGAAATTAGAAGCATAGGCTTGGGCTTTCTATTTGAACCGGGTGGGATCGACCCGGCCCAAAGTACAGTGTTGCTCCTTTTTACCCACCTTTTGTTTGGTCGAGTGGTTTGTTGAACAGCACTCCTGGATTCAGTCTTCATAATACCGTGTTCACCCCTTACTTACAGGCAATTGCAACTTGCAACTGTGTATTAAAAATACCTTTATAATTGTATGCTATTTATGAGGAGATATTCCTTATACACAGCTGCAAATGGCTGTTAGGACGGTGTGAGCAATGTCTCGTGAGAACTGAATCCGAGTTCCTCCCAAGTGACAGGTCTCGTTTTATGGAACTCGAGACTAGAAAAAAACATCGGATTTGGTACCCACGGGAGCAAGGAACTGTACTGTCCTTACTCCTTACAGCCATTTTCAGCCGTGAATTAGAAATATTTTTTCAAAAAATATTAGTACGGAGATGTTCCCCTTAAAGAAGGTACGAGGAAGGTAATGTGAGTATCAAATCCGATCTCGGAAATAACTGCACCGGAATCTGCCAATGTGCCTGGCATGATGTCTGGTCGGTCCGGTTTAATCCGGTTGGTACGATTGGTTTTTAGGGAGAATGACAGTTCAGCCCACATCAGAATTTTTAAGCTGAAAATAGAATTCAGTAGAATTCAGGTTATTAGGGTTTCTGACATTTTAAATGTTTATGGGTCTGTAGTAGAATTCAGAAATCTGCATTGGGTCTGTTCATACTTTTCTGTTTTTTGTATTTAATTACAACTCTTCCCGTTAGGAGTGAGTATTATTCGGTTAAAACCGAAATACCAAATCAAAAATTTCAGTTTTGAATTTTTTGTTTAGTTTTCTTTTTATTTTTGGGTAATTCGGTTTGGTTAATTTGATTTTTAGAAATTTTGATTTTCAAAGTTAGAAATTCCATTAACCAAAAAAACTGAATTAATTGAAATTTATTATATAATAATTAATATATAATATATTATATATTTATATATTATATATAATGTATTATAATGAAATTTAATTTCATAATAAATATTATAAGTTATAATATATAATATTTTATATATTAATTCAATTCGATTTTTAACCAAAAAACGAACAAAAAATTTTGGTTTGATTATTTCGATTTTCTTATAATTCGATTTCGGTCCGATTTTTTTTTTTTATTTCGGTTTTAAAATTTCGATTTATTCGATTCGATTTTTAATCGAATAAATCGAATGCTCACCCCGTTCCCGCATCGCATCTGTACGACTTGTATTGTTTACGATTTGAGATTTCACTATAAAAGGCGATGAGCATTGGGCAATTGCCGCTTACCGCGTAACGCCTTTCGCGGGCAATTAAATAAAGAGAGCGAACAAAAAAATCCCTCGTTTTCCACTTTTCCTCCCACTACTTATCTCACTCTCAGGTACTCCCTCCATCTCTCAATCCGATCTGGTTGTTCTCTGATTCCTCTGTACAATTTGCTTGACATTTCCATCGAAGCTAGAGATCGATCGTTATCTGTGAGAAACTTTTCGATCTTTAATTTACATGGTCTTTGTAATCCGTTTTTTGATCTCTTGATTTCTGATTTTGATTGAATTCGTGCAGTTGAACTGATTATCGATAATGGCTGACGATTTTGAGTTCTCTGATAAGGTTCCTCCGTCGTTTGAGCGCGTGGTATGTTTCTAAGTTCAAACCTATCCTCGCGCGTTTTTCTTGATCGAGCAATTTTTTTTGAGGTTTTGGTTCAGGACCCTAGGGATTACGTAGTTTAGTAGATCTGCTCTATGGTGAGCTTATGTTTGTGTTATTCATCTTTGTTTCATCCGAATCTGTTATTTGTTTCATTGCAATTATCTTTCAGCTGGACTTGTTCAATTTTACTTCAGAACGTAGTGTCCGGCTTCTGGTTTTGATGTAAGATTTTTCCGAGTTATTCAAGTTTTTACTGTAAGAATATTTTATTACAACTCATATTAAGAAGTTATGCTTCTCGAGTTTACTCAACCAACTTAGTATATTATTTTTGAACCGCCTTTTCTTAATGCCAATTAACAATTGTATTGCATGCATTTTCCATTAACAACTTTAACTCTGATCAGTAGTGAGAGTAGTAATTACTTAACTCTGATCAGTAGTGAGGGTAGTAATTGCCAATTAACAGTGGTTTGGTTGCTTGTGACAATTCTATTTTCTCTTTAGTTGTTCTTTTGGTTTTGACATTTATCTTGTTTCTTATGTTGGAGGTCGTAGTAATTGCTTAAATAACTTGATTTAAAGAATTGCATGTGTGCATGTCACTAAAAAAAGGATGGGTCTTATTCAAGAGATGGAATCCCCATTTAGACAAGTAAAAGAAGGCATCTGGAGTCTTTTAAGCGGTAATAATTTATAAAACAGAACATTCGCAACTTTTCTTACCTTTCTGTTAGAATAAATAGGGGGAAATGCTAATAATTATGAACTTTCCCGTTTATCTGAGTGAACCTTGACACTGGAAAGTTTCTTGTAAAGAGGAGAGCATGCTGAGAAGTCATCTGTTTTTCATTGGATATGGAGGTATTCAGATTTTGAAGATGATATTTCTGATGGATGTTATCTTAACTAACTTGAATTTGTGAAGACCTACTATATAACCTTTCAACCATTGGCATTATTGTTGTTGTAGCTTGTTAAGAAGTCTAGGAAGATTTCTGAAGCAAATTTATTAGATTTCTGAATTTTCCTAAGCTTGTCTATGCAGTTTCATGCTGCTTTGATTTCCCTGCTGTAAAAGATAATATTATTAATGCATGCTATAGGCTTCTCTAGGTTGTCATATTGGTATACCCCATGTTAACCATTTCAGTTCATTGACTTGAATTTACATGTCTAAATTAGTTGTCATTTTTCTTAATTAAAGAAACTACATTTCATTATTGATCTTAGTCTTCTAGGTTTCTATGTGAGAAACATTGCATGCATTTTCTATGCAAATTCAAGTGCATTATGTGTGATTTCTGCGAGTCCATAGTCTTTTTAGCTTATTTGATATGTTTCTTTCTTGCTACATACTTGCAACTTACTTTTTTTCCCTTTTTTGGGTGATTGGGCGATGGTCAGCAGAATGAATTCATTCATTGATAGAAAAAAACAAGCTATCCTGAATTGACAAAATCAGTTATTACAAATTTATCCCAGGTCCTGGATATTATCCAAGGTCCTGGATAACCCCATTCTACAGATTGCCTTGAAGTTCCCAACTTAGTTAATCTGTCTGCTAACTCATTTGCACACCGCAGAATCCATCTGAACAAGCAGTTCAAATTTCTTCCCAGTAGCTGGATTCCCTCACTAAAAGTCTATAAACCCACAGCATCTCTTTTCTGGTACATACAGCATTTTATGGACATATTTCAAAATGCTTTGTCATAATTTCACCCTGACACTAACTGAACCTGTTAGACATTTTTTTTTACTTCCTGATGTTGTTCATTTTGTTTTTAACTTTACCATTTCTAAGTTTTCCATTTGGAAGGTCCAAACTTGTTGGTATAGCTGTAAGAATTGCTGTTTATGAGAAATTCCTTGGTTTCTTTAAGCATATCTAAAGTTGAACTGTTCTCTCTTTTTTCCTTTCTTCTTTTGTTTGTTTGTTATGGTTTGTTTTAAAAAATTCAAACTTTGGAGATAAAATATTGTCCATATGGAAGATAAGCATTTGCCATTATCATCATTGGCTACATGAATCTTATTTCACCAATCTGTTCTATTTAAAGCTATATCCACTGTTAAATTGCTAGTGCTTATGTCATTTCTTACTACTTCTATACATGTCCTTTTTGGTATACCCCTATCTCTTCTAGCCCCTTCCACTTGCAAAAAATCACTTCTTCTAACTGGAGCTGTTGGTGTTCTTCTATACATGTGACTAAACCATTGTAGTTTACTCTCTCTCATTTTATCACCTATTGGAGCTACTCCTAGATTCCTATAGATGACTTCATTCCTGATCCTATCCTTTCTAGTTTTTCCACCCATCCATCTTTGGACATGTTGTTTCTTGACTGCCAAACACTCTGCTCCATACAACATAGCTGGCCTTACAACTGTTTTCTAGAATTTTCCTTTTAATCAAAGTGGTATTCATCTATCACACAAAAAGTCTAGATGCACCCGTCCATTTTGCCCAACCTACTCTAATTCTTTGGATGACATCCTCAATCTCTCCCTTATTATGAATTACTGAACCAAGGTACTGGAAAATGGTCACATTGAGTTCTCTCTTGGTCTCCATTCCCAATTGTTTCCTGATTTAAACTCCTATTATTACTAAATTTACCATTTGTCAATATGATAAATGAAATAAAATGTCAAAAGAAGAGGAAGGTTGGCAATGATTTTACCCGGAAAAAAAAGAGGAAGCATAATTGTCTAATGCCCAGTTATGAATCAATCTCCTTTGACTTAATGCATTTCATGGCAGAAAGATGGGGACAATTCTCAAACTGTAAAGATTCAGCTAAATCTTCATTCACTTTATGGCAAAAGCTTTATTTTTTCGCCCCTTTTATGAAACCAGTCTACCCCTCCCAAGCCCCCATATAGATGGGACCAACATTGGGTAATGACCTTTCACAAGGGAAATAAAATTGAAAACTTTGGTTGATAAAAAAAGAATAGTAGTAGGTAGTTCAGTTAACAGTATGATATTGCTGCAAACTAGAAAAGTGACAATTAATTCTTTGAAGGAGTGGTGCCTTTTATAAGGTGCCAGCTGGCTCAGTGGATCTGGGATTGAATCCGACCATCACTCTCACCCTTCCTACCCCCAATCCTCTAGTCTTCCTAGCAAAAAGGAATTATGAGAGCGCCTTTTGAAAGTGCAAGAGTTGAAAATTGCTGAACTAGCATAGAAGTTACCTTCAGTCAGACTGATCCTAATAACCAACTACATTCATTGAGCTGCAGCAGTATGAACTATAACCTGTTCTAGTACAAATTTCTGGATTTCTATGTTATATTGTCTATATAAGCCAAAAAAAGTGCAGAGTAGTTTTAAAATTGGTATAGTGAGTCTGAAATTTGGATGAGTGACTTTAATGAGGTCCTTGCTTTTAGTTCCTGGGAATATCCATGCAGAGTTGATGCAAACCAGGAAGAAGAAAAAAGAAACAAGTTTGAGATTTGAAGCTCCAAAGGAAAACTGGGTTTTCATGCTTCTGTGCATGAAGTTCCTCTTGATTCCACTAGCCTAAGCAATCTTTGGATGAGGTCATAACCAAGATATTAATGGTATTGGCTCTCGAGGTATTGATAGGATCAATGGTTTAGGGGGTTCTTAGGTTTTTGAAAAATTAAAGGTGATTCAATTCAACCTTTCTGTTAGCTAGCAGAGCATTGTAGAAATGGTGAAAGCATTGTTAATCCCATTAGAAGTTGAAATCTTTTAGTTTATGATCTTTGTGTAGATTGGCTAGTACCTTCTGCAGACATCATCTTTCTTGAATTGTTTTTATAATTCCTCTATGTGGTTCCAGGGTGCATTAATTTTCCTTTTGTAAAAGATAATAATTTGTGTATACATATATAGTTTTCTCTAGGCTGTCTAATTGGTATACCACAATGTTTAATCATTTCAGTTCAATTGACTTGAATTTACTTTCCTAAGTTGTCAATTTTTTAATTACCGATCCTACATTGGATCATTGGTCTAAGTCTACTTTTTTATGTCAGAAACATGCAATGTATTAGCCATGTAAGCTCAAGTGTATTATGCATGTTTTCTGTAAGTCCATGGCCAGTTCTTTTGAACTTGTTATGTTTCTCACCACATGCTTTCAGCTTTCTATGTGCATAATTCATAACACCTTTGTCATAATTTCATCCTGGCACTAAATGAACCTTTTAGACATTTTTGCTTCTTATGTTATTCATGAAGACATGGCAAGTCCATATCTTGTATTAGAAATTCCAACTATGGAGATAAGATATGGTCCATATGAAAGATGAAAGCTTGCCAATATGATAAATGAATGAAATGTCCAAAGAAGAGGAGGAAGGTTGGCAATGATTTTACCAGAAAAAGAGGAGGGATCAATAATTGCCTAATGTCCAAAGATCCCACTGTTCCAGGATCAAATCCCACCACCTCCAATCCCTAATTCAAGGAATTATGAGGAAGCCTTTTTCATATGATAAAATGATGAACCCTTTTGAAAGAGCAAGAGCTGAAAATTGTTTAACAAGCCAGCTTGACCCGAATAACCAACTGCATGCATTAAACTGCAGAAGTATGAGCTATAAGCAACTTAAGTTAAAATTTCTTGATTTTATGTTATAATTGCTTATACAAGCAAAAACAAATCATGTAGATTAACTTTACAGTTTTTTTTTTTTATCAGCAAAATAGATTAACTTTAAAGTTGGTACGATGAATCTGAAATTTGAAAGAATGACCTTAATTGAGGTCCTTGCTTTTAGTTCCTGGTAACACAGAAAGCATAGTTGATACAAACTAGGAAGAATAAGAAGAAAATAGAAGCAAATTTGAGGGAGTGTCGTACTGAAAGCTGGATTTTCATGCTTAGGGTTCCATGAAGCTCCTATGAGTCCCACTAGAAGTGATCTTTAGAGGAGGTCATAACCAAGATGATGGTGTTGGCACTTGAGGTATTAATAGGATCAATAGTTTAGTGGGTTCCTAGGTTTTTGAAAAGTTAAAATCCATAATCATATAGCTTTCTCTGAGATGCCCTACAGCAAAAGCAAAGTGATTCAATTCAAGGCTTTTTATAGTTGAGCTAGCTGAACATTGTAGAAATGGGTAGTTGAAACTTCTTTGGTTTATGATCTTCATGTAGATAATCGTCCAAAGATATCATCCTTTTTTGAGCTTTTATAGCTCCTTTGTGTTATTTTTTGTTAAAGGTTATAATTTATCTGCTGTGTAATAAACAGGGAAATGTGATCAAGGATGCTGAAGCAAAAGGTTTCAACCCAGGGTTGATAGTACTACTTGTAGTTGTGAGTCTACTATTGGTCTTCCTTGTTGGGAATTATGCTCTTTATATGTATGCTCAGAAGACGCTTCCACCAAGGAAAAAGAAGCCCATCTCCAAGAAGAAGATGAAGAAGGAGAGGCTGAAGCAGGGTGTTTCAGCACCAGGAGAGTAGTTTAGATTTAGTATTTATTTTCTTTTGTTTTTCTTCCTTTATGTTCAGATGCTACACAGATTTTTTTTCCTTTCTTAATGCCAGTCGTCAATGCTAAGACAAGGTTGTTATTTCCGTTTGGTAAGTTTAGGGTCTTATCTCTTAACCAAATTTAACCTTTGTTAGGTAGTAGTTGTCTTGGGACAAGTGAAAAAAAAAGGTGAAGCTGTTGGTTATTTCATCACCTTACCTTTTTTTTCACTCTTGGTCCAATATGACAATTTATATTGGACCAGAGGCCATGAACCATTTCAATGCATAGTCTGTAATCCAGAGAGTAGGAACTAGGAACTAAATCAATGTACTCGACCTTGCCAAAGGATGTCCAATGGAAATTCTGTCAATCGACTCAGGATTCTTAGAAGAACAGCACAAACACGCTTGAGGCGGCAGCCCTTCTACTTTCATAAACACTTGGTTGTTGGCGGTCTGACGGCAGCAACTTGTTGATTAATTGATTCTGAAAATAACCTACCGTGGGGTTGTTCAACAATCAACTTTCAAGTTTCAACCGGTATGTATCAGATCACAAGTTATTGTGGCGGATTGGCTGACCACCGCTAAAAACAATAATGCTGGCTCTTGCAGTTTTTTCAGCATTCATTGCGGCACTTCGTTATAAAGCAGGTTGCAAGTCATTTGGCGGCAGTTAGACCGGCCACCAATATAAACCATAAATTTAGAGGTGCAACTTGGGCGGAGATTTTGTCAAATTTTCAATAGGCATGGCCCAAAGCTCGAGTCCAAAACTTTGTTAAATGTTAACTTGGTCCAATCCAAGTTGCACACCCTACATTGAATGGCTCCCATCACCCATGACACCACTCTCATCGTCTAGGGTTTTGAGGCTTTGAACACAAATTAGAGATGATCATTTCAGCCCACAACCCATCCAGGTTGTCACTCAGCGGGTTTTTGATGCAGTGACGTTTAAACACAGGTGGCTTAAAGGAAACTGGATTTGGTCCTCACAGTCCCTTGCAGCTGTGCATTGAGAACCCATAAAAATATACGGAGATGTTCCCAATGCACGGAGGACCAAATCCTATCTCGCTTAGAGATTCACCAGCCCTGCAATCCTGGCCAGAAAGATGAGTTGAAAACATTGCCACGCCACTGATCATCCTAAACAAACTACATTTATACCGGAGCTAATGTTATCACAATCCTAGAACACTTTAAGCTTATTTTAATATAAAATAGATTATAATTTATAAAATATAAACATCAAACTATTTCCTCTCTTTCCTGTTAACAATCTTTATTTTGCTGAGCCAAAAACCACATGGTTGTCTTGCTCGCATCAGACAATACGAATACAAGTAATAGTTTGTCTATGTCACATACATAATAACATCAAGTACATATATAGGCGTAGCCTATGAGAGAAACGGGATCATCTCGGGTGCCCTAACGGCCCATCGTCTGCTCCATTGGGGGGATCATAACCAAGACAGGTCGACTATTGAACCCAGGATGAGGCAGCCTACGGCGAAGCTCTCGCCCTTCCTGGCAAAGGGAACATGTGTGGCAGAAGAAGTGAGTTGCAAAGTCACATGCTGACTCACAATTCTCGCGTTGCATGTCATCCTCTATTACACCTCTGCAGCACCCACATGATCTAGAGAGCGCCTCGCAGCTGCCCTGTTTTTGCGTCACCATGACCAAGAGGGCAAAGGGTCAAAAAGTAATTATAATTATGATCAAGGAGAAAGAAAAAAGAAAAAAAAAAAAAAAAAAAACCATAACCTACCTACATACATGCCTACCTATCATTCTCATAAGCAGAAAGAAGGAAAAGAAAGAAGAAAAGTCGATAATACATCACATAAGATGAGTTGTCCTTCAAATCTTAATTTTTTTATCAAGAATTAAAACAAAGATATAACAGAATTGCCTTCTTACCCCCCAAATAAAAACATTGCCTAATAAGCATATACAAAATATGCAGAAATATCTGTCGTCTGCCATAAACAAAATTGGTCTCAAATTCTCGCCGTAGTCATCAATGGAATCTCGAAACTAATCGTGAATATCCAGGTACATCTGAGCGCATCTAATGATCTAAGACTAATTTACCTTATTTGAGTCCAAGAGTGACTAGGGATGGCAATTTTCCCCATCCCCGACCCAATTTGTTTTGGCGGGGTGGGGGTGGGGGCGGGGATTAATGGAATCCCCGATCGAGGTCAGGGTCAGGGATGGGGATTGAGGTCCCCGCCCCACCCTGCCCCCGACTATATATTTAAATGTTATTTATATTAAATATATATATATATATATATCAAAATATATTTAAAACATAACTTATAATTAAATTTTTTTATTTATTTTAAGTAAATTTATTTTTCAAAAAACTATTATCTAAAAAAATTTCAAGGATTCGAACCCCCATGGGGAACCCATCCCCATCAGGGATCGGGGATGGAGGACAAATTTTATCCCCAGCAGGGATCAGGAACAACCCAAAATGAACATTGGCGTACTTGGGTTGGGTCTGGTCCAGGCTTGGTTTGGTTTGGTCAATTGGAGTCAAGTAGGCCTGTCAATGTACTAAAAAAGTTGCATAAACCTATTTATCATCACTAATTTAAACCTTTAAATAGATATTTTGTATATTTTGCATATAAGCATGCATGCATGCATGTGTGTAGTGTATGCATCAACATATGTAAATTATGTATGCAAAAAATAATGGATCTTTAAACTGCAAATGGGTGATCACCACCTAATTCTTGCCTATTCTCACTTCCTTTGGACGAAGCCTACTCTCTCTGCCTTGCAGATGAGCTAACTGAACACATCCAAGGTGAATAAAAATGGGCATAGTGGATCTCCTTACCTAAGTCTTCCCCTTGCAAGAAATAAATTCTATGTTGAACCATTAACTAATAAGTAGTGACATGACCGTGAAATAAATCCTTTGTTGAACCATTAACAATATATAAAATCATGATTTAAGCAAATTATATGGCATGCCCACACTCGTATCAGCGTTTGAGATTTTAAGAAACAATGTCATATCCCTTCTTCCATATTTGTATGTGTACATGTTCACATATGAGCATCATAGTTGTAGTCCGCCTTTAAATCACCTCCTTCATCTTTCCCCAAAACTACACATCAATCACCATATCCAAAATGGAACAATCCTACCCAAATATCTTGGGTACATACATTGGTTATAAGAATCTAGCCTATTATTTATCTCCTCTGAATGGAAGGCCTCTTGGAAATGTGAAATAATGGATGGGAGAACCACTTTGAACTGGAGTGAGAGAACCTTAGCAACTATTTTCTAATAACTTCTTTTATAAGTAAAAGACTAAAAGTAAAATTTCATTAAAAGAAAAATAGAATATAATCTGGATGCGTGTTAAGGCAACACCTAACAACAGCAACAAGTACAAAACTACATGTCTTCAATTATTTTTTATAGTAAAATTTGACAAAATCAGTCTCACAAACAAGCCGAAAACAACTCCTAACTATTGACTCCTTGCTTACCAAAAGCATCAACCATTCCATTTGCTGATCTTCTTGCCCATTTAAACCTCACGCCGATCTCCCTTGCTAAGCTCAAGATTTCTCTTAGTTGTTGTCTGAAAAGCCACGTAACCAAGCTTCTTGCTTGCAACCAGCCCTTAAGGAGTCCCCTACCCAATGATTTAAAAGGCATGCCTAGGCACAGAGGCGAGGTGGCTAGCATAGGTCAAGGCAGCTGGACTTTATAAAAGGCGCTAAGTCATGCGCCTTAGGCCAAGTGCCAGGAGGCCCAGGCGAGCACCTATTTAAGTTGTCAATTTTTTTATTTGTTTTTAAATTTTAAGTTTGTATATTATTATAATTGTCCAACAAAAGCATTTTTCCTTTTATGTATCCAAGTATTGCAAATTGTATGGCAAAGCATGAAATAAAGAAGACCAAAGGCCAAATCGAGAATAGGAAAAAAATTACCATGCAAGCAAAGAGAATCAAAGAAGCCAATCTGTCTAAGTCGAACAAGCTATATTTAGAAAATCTTCTTCGTCCAAAATGGCAAGTCCAGGACTCTTCAACCATCAAGCCATCGGCGCAAGGTGCGTTTTTCCTCCTTTTTTCTTTCTTTTCTACCATTATTTTGACAGTAAAACAGTTCACCTCTTCTTTCTTTCTTTCTTCCATTGATTTTGACAGTAGAATAGGGGCTCAGCCCATTCTTTATTCTCACATCTTCATACAAAAACAGGGGCTCCGCCCAACTTTTTTCATCACATTTTACATTAAAAACAAGGGCTTTCTCCGCCCCACTATGAAATGCTAATGGGTCTAAAAATTAATCTGTCCAAGAGTACCAATTGGAGTCAGGGAAGTAGAAAGGGAGGTGCTGGAAGTGTGTTGCAGTGTTGGAATGTCGATTAGGGGAGTTGCCTTTCCTCTATTTGGGTCACTCCTGGTGGGGACCAAGATTTCAAAAGTAGGGGTATGGAGGCCAGTGCTAGAAAGGGTGGAATTGAGGGCTTTCCTCAATTAGGGGAGTTACCTATCCTCATTAAAAGTGTCCTTTCAAGCATACTAACATACTATTTGTCACTCTTAAAGGTTCCAAGGAAGATGACGACAAGATTGAAAAACTACAGAAAGAATTCCTTTGGGAAGGAATTGAGGGCCAAAAGATGTTCCATTTGGTGAATTGGGACAAGGTATGTAGACCAAAAGGAAAAGGGGGTCTGGGGTTTAGAAGGGTAAGGTTGTTTAATAAGTGCCTATGGAGGTTTGAGCAAGTTAGAGAAAAGAATTCTTTATGGAGGAGGGTGGTAGCCAGAAAATATGGCGTAGTGAGGTTTGGATCGGGAATCAAAGAAAGTTCCAAATTCCTATGGGGTGAGTGCGTGGAAGGGGATAATGAATTTTAAAAGAGAGTTCAAAACTTTGGTCAATTTTAAGGTGGAGGGGTCAAGAGTAGATTCTGGGAAGATGAAGGGAAGTTGTAGTCCAAGACTTTATAGACTCTTAGAGTAGTAGGTGAGGGTAAATCAATGTTTAATAAGTGCCTACCATCGATCATCTCACCTTTCCAAGGTGCCTTTGTGGAAGGAAGGCAGATTGTGGATCAAATTCTAGTGGCCAATGAGTGTGTTGTAGAAAAAAGAAAGGGTAGAGGAAAAGGGTTGGTGTGTAGGACCTAGAGAAAGCCTATGATATGGTTAACTGGGAAGTTCTTCTTCAAATGTTAGAAAGGTTGGGCTTTGGAACCAATCGGGATCTTGGATTAAAGGATGCCTAAGTTTTGTCCAGTACTCAATTCTTATTAATGGTGTAGCAAAGGATTTCTTTCTGGCTAAGAGAGGAATTAGGCAAGGAGACCCTTTATCCCCTTTTCTCTTCACTATAGTTGCTGAGGTGTTAAGCAGAATGGTGGCGAAAGCTGCTTCCCAAGGACTGTTCAAAGGGTGGAGGATAGGTAGAAATCAAGTGGTTGTTACCGACCTCCAATTTGCAAATGACACAATATCCTTTTATGAGGGTGGGAATGAGGAAGGAGTGGTAAACCTAAAATTACTATTGGATAACTTTGTGGGGGTGACAGGTTTAAGGATAAATTGGACTAAAACAGGCATTGTAGGGGTTAATCTGGAGGAAGGGGAACTACATAGATTCGCAGAGACTTTGGGGTGTGAGATTAGAAGTTGGCCAATGAGCTACTTGGGGTTACCTTCAGGAGGCAATCCTAGGTTAGAAGGTTTCTGGGAACCAGTTATTGAAAGATTTGCTAGGAAGCTAGCTCCTTCATGCATAACATTTGGGAATTTTTTTGTACTCTCTTTGATTGCAGGTGGGTTTCCCCTCAAGATGTGGTAGGACTCTTCAACCAGGACTTTTTGAGTCAACCAAAGAAAAGTGGGAAGGTTATGTGGAAAGCTACAAAGGTAGCTATTTGTTGGGTGATTTGGAAAGAAAGGAACAACAGAATAATTTTGGACAGAAGTAGAACAATGGAGGAGATAATCGACACCATCAAAGTTAAAGTAGCTCACTGGGTAAGATCTATGCATATCTTTCAAGTTTTCTCAATCATAGACATTATGAGATCTTGGACAGAAGTAGCACAATCCTCAAGAGTAAAAGAGAAAGTAAGGATGGAATGGAAACCTCCAGATGGTATGCAGTTGGTTTCTATTTGAAACTGAATTTTATTATGATGATGTGGAAAGAATTGATTCAGATGAAGAGATTATAAATGGACTCTATAAAGTAATCCAGAAAGTGACAAGAACAAATTGAATACAATCATTGATGAATTATCAAAATATAAGAATGTAGAGGGAATTTTTTATAATAACATGGCTATTTGGTAGAGAAAGATAAAAGTACTAGGTAAATAATGATATCTAGTCAATTAATATTTTTTGTTTATTATTTTAGTGATTGTTGTTTTTATTTAATCAATTTGCTAGTTTAATTATTATTTATATTTTTTAGCTGATTGGTGAATAGCATTTGATGCTCCAGCTCCAAGTCTACAAAAAATTGATACCAAAATTCCAAGTTTAACATGTAGTGCATTTGGTTACAAGCAAAATTGGAGTGTGTTTGAGCATGTATGTTTAATTAATAAATTTACCTGTTTAATAATTTATATTAAAATTATATTTTAGTTTTAC